ATGAACGGCCAAGAAAACAAACAGATTCATCCTAGAGAGGGTTAAACCAGGGTGCTTCTTGGAGTCAAGGATTCTAGGGCTTCGTCTGACATACTTTGGACATGTTGTAAGGAGAGACAGGTCTTTAGAGGGGGACATCATGCTGGGTAGAGTGGAGGGACATCGCAGGAGGGGAAGACACTCTATGAGGTGGATTGATTCAGTGGCTGGGGTAATCAGGATGGGTGTGTCAGAGGCAATTCGATTGGCACAGGATAGAGCAGGGTTTAAGGCTGTTGTACATAGGGTCGCTATGAGTCACAAACGACTCGATGGCACATAACAACAACAACAACAACAACAGTCTATATCCAGTCAAGGAAACTTGCAAGACAGCAATATTTTGTTTCATTGTGCATGGGATTGCCATGAGTGGTAACTGACTCAAGGGGAGGTAACAATATTGTTATTATCTATGATGGTAAGTAGGATCTGAGAATTAAGGGATCTAGTTGAAGTAATTAGAAGAAAATAAGATTCAATATGATTTTACCTTCTACCTTTAATCCAGCACATGTTTGTTCTTCGGGAGCGCCCCGAAACAGTGTTAATAGATCTCATTCAAAGGACAAAAGATGCAGTAAGAGAGTTGGACAATCTACAGTATCGAAAGATGAAGAAACTCCTTTTCCAGGAGGCACATAATGGACCAGCGGTAGAAGCACAGGAAGAAGAAGAGGTAATATTTTGGAATTTACTCAAATATTGACCTCTTTATTTGTTTCTTCTTTATGCAACTTGTCCTTCCAAGAATCTGGTTTTTTATATCAGCTACTTCCAGATTATGTTTTCTTAGCAGTGGTTTTGTAAGACCCTAGATGAAGGAAAAGTCTTTGATCATTCTCTAAACTCAACTCCATGTAATATATTGTGGCATAGTACAGACTTTGAGAAGTCTTTAGTTACAGAAACCTGTTCAATTTTGTTTAACTGAATTAGCTTCCAAATTTCTTGGCCCTTTTTTGATTTTTACTTTTTATACCTTGTTAAATGAAACTAAGCTTTATTCAATATTAGCTATAAAAACTTTCCATGGGAAAACCTTGATACTATAGATTCCAGAAGATGATTGTATCTAAGCATTCTATGTCATCAGAAAAATGTGATCCTTTCAGTTATGCCTTACAAAAAAGAAACTAATACCTCAAGTGCATAATTTTCAGTTCTAACGTATTCATTTTATACTTAAGTTCAGAGTAATAGGGGTTCAATATGTCTGTTTCCCTCAGAAGGCAAAATTCTTTCTATGTTTCCCTTTGTTGTTGTTTGTACTGTCAAAGTGGAACTGATCAAATAGCTAGCCCTCCAGTGGATTTTCAGAGACTATAAATTGTATGGGAAGAAACTGTCCATCCTTCTCCCATAGAGCAGCTAGTGGATTTGAACTTCATGCCTTTGCAATTGCAGTATACCTTCTTACACTAAGCCACCAGAGCTACCCTTTAGGAAGATGGAAATGCAGATTTGCAAGAAAGGCATTGCAGAACTTCCTCACAAAGTACAAATATACATAAAATTTCTTAACTATAAAGCTGTCTTTTTTTAATTTTAAATTTTCTTTTCCTCTTTCAGAATCCCAAAGCTTTGATTCTTTTCTCTTTGAAAGGAGATCATTTTGAATTCTACAGCAACAGTAGTTCTTTTCTCTTTTGATATCAGTATATTAATATACTGCCTCTGAAAACTCTACTGGAGAGTCAACCGAATCAGATCTGATTCAGCAGTTCATGAAAATAGCTAATGAACTTTCATAACTTGAAATTTTGGAGTTTGCTTTTATTTTTGTTCTTATAGGTATTAGAAAAAACTCTCTAGTATTGGCAAACGTGGAATTTATTCCAAGATCTCTAACTAATAATTTATACCAAATCATATCCTAGGAACTTTCTACTGAGTATTCAGAAAAGATACAAATATTTTAACCCAATACTCTTTCCCTTAGGAACAAGATCATGGTGTTGGTCGGACAGGAACAGTGAATAGTGTTGGAAGTAATCAATCTATTCCCAGTATGTCCATCAGTGCCAGTAGCCAAAGCAGCAGTGTTAACAGTCTTCCAGATGCCTCAGATGACAAAAGTGAGCTAGACATGATGGAGGGGGACCACACAGTGATGTCTAATAGTTCTGTCATCCATTTAAAACCTGTAAGTATTTGGATTTTCATTTGGTCGATTTCAGGAAGGACAACTTTCTTTAATATTTCAATATTAATTTATTTTAAAATTGCAGTTGACTTGTTAACATCTAAGTCTGAATTTTAGAAAACAATTATTTTGAGAATTCATCAAGAATGCAGAACAATTTTAGAATTGTAGGAGGGAAAAATACCAAAGGTCTATACGAAGTATTATTTCAAGTTACTTGCATGGAAAATGTGTTATCTGTAAATTATTTTTAAAGTGAAACTTAATTTAATTATGGAAGATTAACAGCTGTAAATTCTAGGTTTAGTAAATATGGTATTTGTTATGTTCTTTGTAATTTTGAGTGCCAAATTTAAAGTTTTCTTTAAATACTTGTGAACTATGTATATGTTTTAGCATTTAGTATAAATGCTGTTTTTAACCTCATAGTTTATAGAATTAAAATGTTACTAGGAATGAGAACTGTGTTTTGTTTCATTGACTGTGCAGAGGCATTTGTCTGTGTAGATCACAACAAACTGTGACTGACTTCGAGAACAATGGGAATCCCAGAACACTTTTTTTGGCTTATGTGAAACCTGTATTTGGCATTTGTCAGAACAGAGCAAGTAAACACTGCATGGTTCAAAATCAGGAAAATTGTATGCCAGAGATGCATCTATCTCCATACCTTTTCAGTCTATATGGGGAACTGATCATTTGGGCTGTTGGGCTCTGTAAGGAGGATTGTGACATCAGGATTGGAGGAAGACTCATCAGCAATGTGTGTTGTACAGATGACAAGACCTTGCTTGCTGATAGTGAGGAGGACCTCAGGCATTTACTGCAGAAGGTCAAGGATTGTAGCCTTCAATATGGATTGAAACTCACTGGGCCAATTGGCAGCATCCATGATAGATGGAAAAGATATTGAGATTGTTAACACATTCCTGCAAATGGCGGCTATGGGGTAGGGGAGAGGTGTTTCTAAGCACAGTCGTCAATTTAAAAGTGTGTGGCAACGTCAGCTTCAGCTTGGTTGATTCCACAGTCAACACTCTTGGTACCAGCAGCCAGGAAATCAGAAGACAAATTTCATTGGGAATATCTGCTGTCAGGGACCTTTCTAGGCTACTGAAAAGCAAGGATGTCAGTCTAGAGATTAAGGTGTACCTGATCCAGGCCATGGTCTTCTCAGTCACTTACTGTGCGTCAGAGAGCTGTACCGCAAGTAAGGATGACGGAAGAATTGATGCCTTTGAGTTGTGGTGTTTGAGGAGAGTGCTGAATATCCCATGGAGTGCCAGAAGAACAAACTGACATACCTGGGGGAAAATCAGCCACAGTGAAGCAAAGATGGTGAAGCTTTGTCTGTCATACTTTGGATGTGTAGTTACACCAAGGCTATTCCTTAGAAAGGGGCATCATGCTTGGAAAGATGGAGGATCAACAAAGAGAGGAAGACCCTCAATGAAATGGATTGATACAGTGACTTAGCAATGTGTCAAAGATGATGAAGGTGGCACAGGACAGGTCAGTTGTTCATAGCGTCACTACGAGTCATTCTCAATGGCCCCTAATAATATCAACAACGAAATTATTTGATTAAGCAGTGGCATTTTTGTGGGCAAAAACTTACTTGATTTTTATTCTTAGATGATAGAATCAATCATTTAAAAAAAAAAACAACATTGCCACAATTGGTTGTTACTTAACTGACTTCCTCTTTAGATAATGAACTCTAAGTAACAGAGTACTCCTTAAAGGCAAGAGTGATGAAGCTTCATCTAATACTTTGGGAATGTTGCTTGGAGAAGCTACTTCTAGGAACAAGACTTCATGCTTAGAAAGATAGAGGAATCAGCGAAAGAGGAAGGCCTTCAGCAAAATGAATTGCCACAGTGACATTGAGCTCAAAAGTGGCAATGAGCTCAAGTATGTCAGATGATGAGGACGGCACAGCATAGGACAAAGTTCAGATCTATAATAATAGAGTTATTATGAGTTGTACTTTACTGTCTAGTCATCTAACAACACAACATAGTAAGTACAGACCCTATCCTTAAACTTTTTTACAGCTAAATTTTTACTTATGACATTTATGTGAGAGTATTATAAAGATGATTTAGATGTTGATTGCCTTCAAGTCGAGCACAACTCATAGTGACCCTATGAACAAAAGGCCTGAAACCGCACTACAACATAGACATTGATCAAAGTTTATGGAGTTTCTGGAGGCATTTTGTTTAGGAAGTGGATGCCACTGTTGCTTCATTTAGATTATATTATATTGCTTCTAAAACTTAAGATTCTTAAGATAAATAATTTATTACTTCTATTTGAAAATATTTGCTCTGTTTCATCATCCTTATTTTTAAATACATTAAAGCTTTTAAATTTTGGAGGGGAGGATACAAACCCATCCTTGTATCTTTCCTTATCCTGAATCTGTGTATCATGTATGTATTAATCTGATGGCTTAGTGATAAGAATTTCCACTCTTAACTCAAAATCATATGGTTCAAATCCATCAGCTCCTCTGCAGGAGAAAGATGTGTATCATCTCCTTACATGCAGTTTACAGCCTTTGAAAACCCACTGGACGGTCAGATCTGAGTCCATTCTGGTACATAACAACAACAATGAATAATCTTCCTGATCATAATTATGTTAAAAATAAAAATCAAGGGGAGCGCTGGTGGCCTAGTGGTAAGGAGCTGCAACTACAATCCCAGAGGCACACGGTTCAAATCCACCAGATGCTCTGCTGGGGAAGGAGGGACAATCTCCTCCTGTACCAGTCAGATCTGATTTGACGGTACACTCACACAAAAATAATAAAATAAAAATTTTTTTTTAAAAAAAGATCAGCATTTTCCATTTTTTTTGTTATAGTTTTTTAAAATCAAGCACCTTTGAGATTTCTTGATCAAGTTGACTTTTAAACTTAATTTTTCTGAAGGTTATGATTTATTTCTTTCTTTGTCTAGGAAGAAGAAAATTACAGAGAAGAAGGAGATTCTAGAACTAGAGCAACTGACCCACAGTCTCCGCCCCAAGTATCTCGTCACAAATCACACTATCGTAATCGAGAACATTTTGCTACTATACGAACTGCTTCACTGGTATATATTTCAAAATAAGAGAGAAATAATTTTTAATTTGGCACATTGGCATAGATATACTTAGTTGGGAAATGGCAGGTAATCCAATTTGGTATATTCTAAAAGTAGTTCTTCAGACTTCCTAGTGATAAAAAATCGGATTATTTGTTCATTACAAGAAAGTTGATGGAGTAGAGAAGTTAAAGTCTTGATCAGTCAGATGAGTAGGACTAAAACATAATAAAGATTAAAGAAGTTATGCTCAGATGTCATAGGGAAGATAGATCATGATAAAATATATTGTTCTAAGACTAAATGGAACCTTTCTTCATGTGCTTTTTATTTGAATATATTCTTTTCATATGTAAATCCTATTATGTTTATCTAATTAACTTTTTTTGGTCACTCTATTTTGAGTATTTCCTTAATATCACTTGCTAAGGAGAAATGAGGGGTTTTTTTAACATTTTAAGATGGAATTTTTTACATTCTTTATGGTTAGTGCTTTTTGTGTCCTGCCCCCCCAAAAAATGCATGACTACCTAAAGACCATGAAGATATTCTTTGTTTTTTTCTGCTTTATGATTTTCATTTTATGTTTTGCGTCAGTTGATTCTTTTCAAATAATTTTTTTCTTTGGTTATGGCTAATTTTTTTTTCCTATACAGAGAACCAATTGTTTTAGTAGATTTTATTAAAAATACTTTGGTCTCTTGACTTTTTATAGAAAAAAGTGGACTTGGTATATGGGTCTGGTTTTATATTTTCCTTTGACTATTTAGCTTTTCCTTATACACTGATATCCTAAAGTCTTGATTCCTATAGCCTTCCAACTTTATTATTTTTTAAATTGTTTTGACCACCTTAGATCTTATACATTTCCTTATAAATTTTAGAACAAAGTTATCTAGTTTTTTTAAAAATATACTAGAATTTTAGTTAGGATTTGCCAACATTCCTCTCTATTAATTATCTACTTATTAATGGTAGAATGGTCTTAAAGTATTTAAGAGATATGGTTTGCATTTTTTTTCTTCTTCACTGTTTGTTTAGGTTACAAGACAAATGCAAGAACATGAGCAAGACTCTGAGCTTAGAGAGCAAATGTCTGGCTATAAACGTATGAGACGACAACATCAAAAGCAGCTGATGACTCTAGAAAATAAACTGAAGGCTGAAATGGATGAACACCGCCTCAGATTAGACAAGGATCTTGAAACTCAGCGTAACAATTTTGCAGCAGAAATGGAGAAACTTATTAAGAAACATCAGGCTTCTATGGAAAAAGAGGTAACTGAAAAAAAATTTTTTTTATTTTTTTATTATTAT